GATGGGCAGCCAGGATAGAGAACCTCTGTAGCAAATATAAAAACTTACGTTAAAGACTTATATCCATTAATTGAGGGAAAACAGTATTTATTCAGCTACACCTGAACCAATTCTGAAGGTTCCTCTCACTAAAATAACATAGGAACAGTATGGTATCTTTCTTGCTGATGCTGTGGGTCCTTTAAAAACTATAAAACTGATCTACTTGAAAGGGTCTGTGAAAGAGAAGCAAAAGTAGTAGAATGTGCTGGGGCTAACCAAGGTAATGGCACAGGTGAACAGAGACAAGAAAAACAGTTTTATTTGGACTGAGAGTTGGAGAGTGAGAGGAGGAGGACCTGAGATAGCGCATGAGCTAAAGAGTAGAGATTAGGTTCCAATATGGCCGTCAAGAGCTCATACACCAAATGGACTCCACTTGGATGGTACAACAGCCTTGCAGTTAGTGCAATTAATAAAGGCCTGTGGGGAAATGTACTTGCTACTAAATCACCAATGCACACCATCACAAAAAGGTGCAGGTTGATTTTTTCTACCATAATTATAACAAAAGTATTACAAAAGAAAGTAAAAAATCACATTTTGCAGATCTTAGACTTGTCTTCAGCTTTTAGCTCAAAGCCCTCACCATCTTCAAAAAATAGTTCTCCTGTAAATTCATTAGCTAAAAGTTCTATCGAAGCAGTGAGAAGACGGCCTTTGCTAGCCAATGCAATTCTTTTCCCATTTTCCCTAGCCAGTTATGGCTGAACAGTAGAGTGAGGCTCAGATGGCGGAGAAGGAAAGGGGACACCGGGGCTAATTTCCCCCAGTACAAGATGGCCTCTGAAGCTTGATGGGAGAGCAGAACTGGAGAGACTTGAGGCAAGGGTTCCAGGCCCTGTATTCAGTCAGAGTCACTGCTGGAAGAGGAGGAGGAGGAGGAATGCTGCAAGGGGAAAGGGGAAAGTAGAGAGCATCAGATCCAAACAACCTTTGATCACTCCATGGGACATTCTCTGGTGCTCTATCCCTCCACCCAAGTACCCCTTGCTTCCTAAGAAGGTCAAGAGTCTTGAGCCAGACTGTCCCTTAAACAGCAAAAGCAAGGAGTTCTTTCAGCAATAAGCATACAGGAATGGATGAAACCATCTGAAACCATCGCACATACTGCATTTGGAGCAAGTTTCCAACCTTCTTTACCTGAGCCAACTCCTAGGCAAGGAATTAATTACAGGCACAGGCATAGTCTAGTGATAGGAAACAGTGACCACCTTATAAAAGCTTATTGATTAGCTACATGGGAAGCTCCTAGTGATTATGAATCTAAGAAAAGTGAGTAGAAACAGCAACTCTGTGTGCATCTATCTCTTCTTTTTCCTAAGCCCAAATTGGGAGAAAGTGAGCAAGGTGGGAAGGAAGACTAGGAGAATCCTACTCAAGGCTCTTTACATGCATTCTCCCATTGACAACTGTCATTAAAAACATTTTGCAGTCTCTCCCGGGTAATTCCTAACCCACTCAATCTCACCTTTTCTTCTCAGCCTTCTACCAAAGATCCAGATCTAAGAATTAGCACTCAAAGCCATAGGCAAATAAATACTATGCAGTAAAATGTAAATTAGGGCCTCTTCAAGCTCCAGGTTGGTACGGTCCTTCCAGAGTTGTCCTGAGAGCTCCTTTAACCCTTGCTAATTAACACTCCTCTAGAATGAAGATACTTAGCCTTGGGGCTGAGCATGAAGCTTAGGGTTTGTTTGAGGCTGAGAGTAACTGACTGCTCTTGTTCTCAGTTTCCCTGATGGGTGGTAGGACAAAACACCCGTGTAATTAACTCTACACCCTGAGAACACTGAAGGAGAGAAAGGAGCTCAAGGAACTTGGGCCAGATTATTATCAGTTAAATATTACATAAGACTTTGCTTTGTCAAAAGACCAACCCTATTAGTTGACATTTTGAGCCACCTCAGCAGATGTGTCCAACTTGTTAAAACATGCACCTGGGGGTAGGGGTGAGGGCAAAAGTTCTGGGAGAGAGAAAGGCAGACTAGAAGGGTTTTTTATTCTGATATCCATTCTAAGGCTCAGCCTAGCCCCTCCCAGATAGAAGTCTCAATTAGACAAACATTTCAAGACTATCAGATTTTTTCCAGTGGGAATCCTTTACAAAGAAGAAAAACCATTTACCAGAGCAACACAATTGCTGCCCCATGTCGTAAGACTGCTTATCCCCCTTACCCACCCCAGCCTGCCTAGTCCCTCAGAGTGGCATCCCTTCCCAGCCAGGCTCCAAAAGGCACTGACCTTGCCATGCTTGTGGTGTTTGTGCATCTTTTTATGAGCTTTCTTCATTTTCTTCTGCATCTTCTTGTCCATCACCATTCCTGGTCCTACTATGCCAGGAGCCAATGGAGTCACCGGAGGCATGCCAGGGGCAGGTGGAGGGTATGGAGGGGGGTAGGGACCTGGGGGCTGATATCCTGGATACCCCGGTTGTGGCACAAAATGAGGGGTCCCGCCTGGAGGAAAAGCTGGATTCCCCTGGGGAGCTCCTGGGGGAGTGGGAAAGGGGCCTGGAGGAAAGGCAGGATTGACAGGCGGTGGATAGGCAGGGTTGGAACCTCCAGGGTACCCGACATTAGGAGGACATGGATTTGAGCCTGGCTGTCCTGGTGGAAGAAGCAATGAATAAATTAAGATTAGAATTGCCCAGAGCCTCTGACAACAAACAACAACAAAAGGAAGAGGATTCGGTTTCCTCACTCAACACTTAAAGGGAAATGGAAAAGTGAAGGAGAGTGGAGAGTACAAACCTGCCCAGGAGAGTAAAAAAATTATGTCCCTGGCATGGCTGAGAAGAGAGGGAGACAGTGAAAGCTAAGGAAAGACAAGAGCATTGGTCAACTCTTGCCTAACGATTTTGCCTTTGCGGGTGAGGAGAGAGGAGGAAACCCCATAAACTTCCTGTCTGGGGCCCATCTGAAAAGGGGTTGGAGTGGTTAAAGAAATCCCTTAAACCCCTACCGGCATTGGGATTCCACATGCTCAGGTGTTTCCTCCAGCCTGAGGAGAAAGAAAAGAAGGCACAAAGCTGACAGCCCTGAGGTGAGAAGAGTATTTAGAGACGGAGACGGAGGCTAACCCCAATGCCTCCGCCCCACAGTATAACTGCAGAGAACTACCACGATCTCCACATAAGAAATGTTTTTCACCCGTTCCTTCACCCTCTTCCTAGTTCCCCAAGCACAGGAATCTAGCTTTCAGGGCCGCTCCACATCCCACCACTGCGGTCGCAGCTGAAGGTCTCTAAGTCCTCAGGAGAAGAGCAGAGTCCACGAATCTCCCTACCCTCATCACTCACCTCCCTTTCCGGGCCTGTGTCTAAGACTTCAACCACCCACAGGCTTAAAGGATCTTCAACAACAACTCCACGCCCTCCGGGGAGAGGGGCGGGAGACAGGACCCTCACCACAGACTAAGAGAAAAAAACCTGCCTCGAGCCGACACGAGGAAGACAGCTAGGCAAAGACCCTCAAATGCTTACATATGTAGACATACCCCTTCCCCGTTAAAAAGGGCAACTGGAGATCCTGGCGAAGCGGAGGCAGGAGGAAATTAGGGAATCCAGATGCCCCGTCACCTTTACACCACCACCCGGGTTTGACTCATCCTTAGACTGCGCACTCACTTCCTGGTCATCGTCCTCCCCTTCCTTAGGCTTTCAGCACCCGCCTTTGCCACCGCCTAATTGGTAATTATGTGGTCATTTGGCACTGTGATTGAAGAATACTCTCGTCAATCACTCTAATCCCTACTGGGCAACAGGGCAATGGTTGAGGTAGGGGCGGAGCTGAACCCTTCCGGGCTGAGTGGGTGCGGAGTGGGCGGGCCGAAATCCTTGGGGGCGTGTTCAGGGGAGACCGGCGAGACGGGGCGGGGGCGGAGCCAATTCCTGGGCAAAGTCCCTGAGATTCCCAGAGAAAACAGCCGCTGAGCTCTGAGCTCCTAGTCCAGTGGGTGCTACACCTTGTAAAGTGAATTTGTTAAGTGTTATAACATAAAAACAGAGCTGAGGGAAGGGCGGGAAACTGCTGAGTCCCAGCACCAAGTCCCTCTACTGCCACCTTCCTCCTATCTCCCGTGGGAAGTAAAGAAACATTCTTACGGGAAATACAGATGTCCTATTCTCTCCTAGGATTCCCTACCTCAATTACATACCTCCGCCATCTGTCGAATTGTGTAGGCCAGCAACCAAGGAGGTCATCCTTGATGGTTCTCTCCTCCACCTTTCCCCCTACTACAATGCCACGAAATGGCCGTTTTGTCTCCCAAATAAATCTGTATTCCGCCCGTCTGTGTCCATTTTACTTGCTCCCAACCTGCTGGACTGCTGCAATGGCCTTTTTTAATATAACACAATTAACAAGCTTAATTTAATGAATATATATATAAAACCATGCACACAAAACTTTAAAAATACTCATTCTTTTTAAGCATACTTAGAACATTTATAAAAATTGGTCTCAACTAATGTAATTCAAATTTCAAAGAATTGCATAATATATACTATATTCTCTGACCACCATATAAAATAAAATACAAACACACACCTGGAAATTAAACAAAAAGTCTTCCAAATAACTATGGCTCAAAGAATAAACCATGATGGAAATGAAATACTGTGAACTAAGCCATAATGAAAAATTACATCCCAAATTTGTGGGATACAAAAAACATGAAGATAACTTTTAAACTGAGTTTGTCTGTTATCTTAAAGTCTTTGTTAGATTTTAAAAATACTTTTTATTTTGAAATGACTTTAGGCTTACAAGTAGTTGCAAAAATAATGGAATTCCCATGTATCCTTTACCTAGTTTTCCCCAATGATAATATCTTACATAAGCCTTGTACATTTTGATATATTTTTAAATCATGTTTGTAATATTTAAAAAATATTTTATATCATATTTGAGATGAATTGGAACATTTTCTTTAAGCTCTATGGCAATTTATATCTGCATTATTTGTTTCTTAGAAGATTATTGAGTTTTGAAATAAATTATTGAACTCTGTATGGGCATGATGCCTTTTCCAAGTTAAATATTTCAAACTATCCTTTTTTTTAAAGCAGCTTTATTGAGATATAGTTCATATACCATACAATTCACCCATTTAAAGTGTACAATTCATTGGTCTTTAGCATATTTAGAGCATTGTGTAACCATCACCATTATCTAATTTTAGAACATTTTTGTCCCCCCTAAAAGAATCCCATAACCTTAAGTAGTCAATCCTCATTCCCTCCCTACCTGTCTCCTACCCTACCCGAGCCCTAAGCAAGCACTACTCAACCTTTTGTCTATAAATGTACCTATCTAGACACTTAGTATAGATGGAAAATTGTATAATATGTGCCCTTTTGTGACTGGCTTCTTTCAATTAGCATAATATTTTCAGTATTTCCTAATACTACATTCTCTTTTATAAAGGAAGTACTGAATAATATGCCACTGTATGGATTACTATCATGATTCTCATTAAGAATTATTACTATTAGATCAGGATAATATTAACCTCCCTACAGGACCCTCACAGATTGCCAATATCCTTCACTTTTCTCTTCTGCTACTTGCTACTTGGGAAATTCTTCCTCATATTTAAACTCAGATAATTTAAAAACAATTAAGTAATGCACCCGTCATTCATTTATTTAACAAATTCAACTCAAACTAGCCAGGTACTTCTGAAGATAGAGAAAACACAATAGATAAAAGCCTTTGCCTTCATGGAGGTAATATCCTGATGCGAGAGCAGAATAGAAAGGAATATATCATAAAATGTCAGATAGCAGTGTTTACTATGTGGGAAAATGAATCAAAGTAAGGAGAGGAGCTGCAGTGGAAGTATTTATAGATTCTCGTAAGGCATGGAAAAGAGTTCAGATTTTATTCCAAGTATGATTGTAAGCCTCTGGAGAACTTTGAGCAGGGAAATGACATGGTCTGATTTTCATTTAAAAAATAATAATTCTGTAAACCACTGTTCATTGAAGTATTGTTCATAATAGCCCAAAATGGGAAAAACTCACATGTCCATCAAATGGATAACAAAATGTGGTATATGCATACAGTGGAATAGAATTCAGTTCAACCTTAAAAAGAAAGAGAATTCTGATACATGCTACAACATGGATGAACCGTGAGGACATTATGCTAAGTGAAATAAGCCAGACACAAAAGGACTAATACTGTAAGATTCCACTTATATGAACTACCTCAAGTAATCAAATTCATAGAGACAGGAAGTAATTGCCAGGGACTGGAGGCTGTGGAGAATGGAGAATTATTGTTTAATAGGCACAGAATTTCAGTTTGGAAAGAATAAAAAGTGCTGGAGATGGATGGTGGTCAAGGTTGCACAGCAAATATGAATGCACTTAATGCTTCTGAACTGCACACTTAAAAATGGTTAAATTTTTTTTTTTTTTAATTCTGGCTACTGTGTGGTGAAAGAACTGGATAGGGAGAGATGGTTAAAGTGGAAGCAGCAGCCCAGTTAGGAGGAATGGTGGTGTCCTGGATGGAAATTATAGAGATAATCAGGAATGGTCAGACTCTGGATTTTTGAAGGTAGAGCTTAGCAAATTTGGACTGGATGTGGGGTGTGAGAGAAACAAAGAAATGAAGGATGAACCCAAGGACAATGAGCATCTGGGAAATAATGGTGTCATTTACTGAAATAAGAAAGATGGGGAAGGAACAGATGTGAGTACATATGGGCAAGTTAATTTGAGGATGCCTATCAGGTATCCAAGTGGAGATATTAAGAAAGCAGTTGAATTTGGCAATCTGGAGCTCAAGGAGTGATTTGGCCTAAAGCAGAAAAAAAAATTGAGAGTTATCAAGGTGCCTAAAGCTGAGGAGCCAGATGAAGTCAGTTAAGGGGAAAGTGCGGCCAGACTACTAAAGAGGGCCCAGCACTTGACCTAGAACCTGCCAATGTTTAGAAATTGGGAAGAGAAGAGGAAGGAGCAAAGGATACAGAATTAGTGGCCAGTGATGAGGGGGAAAATCAGAACAGAGTATAAAGAAAGGATTCAAGGAGGAAGCTATCAAAGGAGTCAGATGCTGCTGATAAATTACATAGGATGAAGCCTGGGAATTGGCCATTGGATTTTCCAAGGATAATGAACTTTTTAAAAACAGTTTTAATTACATGGTAGAGATGAAATTTTGTCTGAACAAACAGAAGACAGAATGAGAAGTGAAAAAGTGAAGACAGCAAGTAAAAGTAATTCTTCCAAATGCTGGTGAATAAGAAAGCAGAGAATGGAGCAGTAATCATTAAGAGGATGCCCAGTGTAAGAAGGGCTTTTGAAGATGGGAGAGTTTAAAGCATTTTTGTAAACTGATGGGAATAATCCAGTATTCTTAGAGAAAAAATGATGTTGCTGGAGAAAGTAAGGATAATTGAAGGAGCAAATTCCTTAGTGATCAGGAAAAGCAGAGTAAAGCCACTGACCTCAGATAGGACAGTTCACTTAGTACAGTGTAGGGTTGAGAAAATGAGCTCTGGACCCAGACTACTGACTGTGTGACCCCAGACAAGGTATCTGAAAAGAAATTCCCATGCCTCCATTTCTCTATCATAAAACAGAGGATGATAATAATACCTAACTAACTCATTGTGAGAATTACATAACCTAATACATGTGAATAATACATGTGAAGGACTCAGAACACTGGCTGGGTATATAGTATGCCCTGTATACATGTTGGCTCTTATTATTGTAACAGGAGGGAAATCAGAGTCTGCAGGTCCAGATGCAAATGTGTTGGTAGATTAGTGGTTGGGAAGATGTGACCATTTTTTGCTGATTACTTCTGTTTTTTTTTTCTCCAGGGAGATAAGAGAAAGATTATCAGCTAATAGGGCCAGGGGGAGAAGGTTAGAAACGGTCATCTCAGAAGTGGGCATACGAATTGAGTAGGGAAGTGTTAGTAGGATTGCTGGGCAGTATGGAGGGTTCCCGTGAGGTTTGTGGACTGTACATAAGACCAGGACAGGTGGTGATTTCCTCCAGTTAAATGTACAGCTGTGGAATGGAAAAATAACTGCATTTAACTTGGGTGAGGTTTACCTGGAAAATACAAGAAAGTAAAAGAGAAAGAGGAACAAGGCTGTCAAGAGTACATGCATGGTAGTGATTATGGTGACAGACAATGTAAAATAAAACAAATAAGGAGGGAATAATATAAAAGGGTGGCAGACAGTGAAAAAGTGGCAGGGTCAATGGACAGGCTATCCCAATGCAGGCTCTCCAGAGTAAGTCAGCTAAAAAGGTAGGAGTTGGTAAACAGAAAGTGGAATGTTTGAAACAGACCTTGGTGGCTGAGATAGTGGAGGAAAATCGTGTTGGAAGTAAAAAAGTCAAGTGAAAGGATTAAATAGATTATCTGCATAGTGACTAAAGTCACCAAGAATGATAACAAAAATAGTGATAAAAAGAAAAAGACTTAGAGCCAAATGCTGAAATGTTCAGCACATACGGAGGAGTGACCCAGAGGCATGTAAATGATCAGGAGATGGAGTGGCAAGTCGTGTGGTCTGACGGCATTTCAGAGAGGCTTTGGGTTTTGGAGAAAGATGGAGAAATGTTTGGAAGTAACAACAGACAGAAAGGAAAATATCTCTCCTCCTTTAGGGCATGTGAAAGAAAAGGCAGCTACCACTCCAGGAAAAACAAGGTTCACTTTAATGGGTGGAAGAAGGTGAGGGGGATGTTCAGAGAAGAGGCTGAAGATATGGAAGATTGTGTAGATATTCCCTAGACCTATATTCCTATAGGCACCATAGAAATACAAAGCAGCATTAGACACATGTCATCTGCTTTCTGAGAACTTCAGGTATCTAAACTTCAGTTTTATGTCATAAAACTATGGCTCTGGATCAAATATGTGTCACTCCAGGAGGTCTTCATACTTTTCCTATCAGGTCTACTGGCCAGTAAACATTGAAAATGCCTTAGCACATCCAAAGGGAATGGCACCTTCTATGAACAGATAAAAATGAGGCTCAGAATGGATTAATGATTGTGCATTGAGCATTGACCCCCCTATACAGAATTTTATTGTTGTTAACAACCATTTGATCAATAAATATGAGAGATGCCCTCTCAAAAAAAAAAAATGAGGCTCAGAAAAGAGAAGTGGCTTATGGCAGGTTCTACCCTAGTTAGTGGCAGATTCAGGTCAGGAACCCAGGACTCCATCCAGTCCACCAGGCTATGTGGCAGGGTCCTGAACTAGGTGCTCTAAAGAAACCAGAGGAATATAAAATATGTTCCTTCACACCCTCCGTGCTTTCAGTTACAGTCTAGGTGAGAAAACGAAGCTCACAAATGAAATAACTTCAGCAAACAATGTATCACTAAAGCACAAAATATGCTACAAGTTGTGTTCATAAGTGCCAAAGGGAGGAAATGTCAAGTCACATGTGGTTTTTCAAAGAATATTTCCTGGTGGATTGCATGCTTTTCCTACATTCTTTAAGTAATTATGAGAATTAAAGTTGGAAAAGTACAGGAAAGTAGAAAGAAAAAGCAAATTACTTTTGAGGTCCCATCACCCAAACAGAATCATTACCGTTAATATTTGGCATTTCCCCCTAGTCTTTTTTCTAGGCTTAGAACTTTTTAATTAATAAGTAAATATCTAATTTTAATAGAAAAAAACAGAGTTCAAAATTCAAGAAATTTTAAAAAAGGTAGGCAGTAAACAACAACAAAAAAATCAGTCTTCTTTCCACTTTCCACTACCCATTTTCATTCACACAGCTTTCCTCTCAAGAGTCCATCTCTATTTATAGTTATGTTTTCCAGTTTCTAAAAAGCTTATTAGCATCTATATTGCATCTCCATAAGCATGGGATCACTAATCATGGCAATACCATAGTAGGTAAACACTAGATTTTGGTCAAGTAATCTTCACAACTGGAACTTTAATCATTTATCATAGAACCATAGAATTGGAATCATAGGGTTGGAAATGACTTAGAGAATCATTTATTCAACTTTGTGAAAAAATTAAATAAGTAGAAGAGTTTACAGCTAGGAAAGCTAAGATTATAATCTGGGTTTTCTAGCTGTTATGTTAGTGATCCCTTCAGTATAACATCTCACAACACACCCACTCAAAAACACAGCAAGTAAACATTGCAATGCTTACCACAACTCTCCTTTGGTTCTTTGTATTTATGGCCTCTCTGAAGTTTTGGAGATGGCCATCATTTGTTTGCTTAATAAGCTTTATTTTTTTAGAACAGTTTTAAATTTACAGAAAAATTGAGAAGGGAATATAGAGTTTTCATATTCCACACTCCATTCCCCCAATCATTCCCCCTATTATTAACATCTTACATTAGTATGGTATGTTCATTACCTTAATGATCCATGAGTATGAACTAAACTCCATACATTATTCAGATTTCTTTAGTTTTCACTCAATGTCCATTCTATTCTAAGACCTTATCCAGGAAATCACATTACATTTACTTGTCATGTCTCCTTAGGCTCATCTAGGTTGTGACAGTTTCTCAGAATTGGTTTTGATGATCTTGATAGTTTTGAGGAATACCAGTTGGGTATTTTGTAAAATGACCCTCTATCGGGATTTGTGTGTTTACCTTGTGATCATACATTTATTTCTAACCTAACATAACCCTAGACTTGTCAGCTTATATGTGTATATTCTTTTCATGTGACATTATCCATTTGTAATAATTTATGGCATTGTAACAACATCATTTTTAATGGCTGAAAATTCCTGCTCTGTTAAATCTGTGATCTTGGATATATTTCTAAACTTCTCTTGATTCCTTGGTTTCTTTCTCTATAAATGGTACTCACAGGTTTGTCATGGGAAAGGCAATCAGACTGTTGAGCAGAAGCAAGACATAATAAAAGTGTGTTTAAAGATTATTTAGAGAGAGGTGTTTAACCGAGATTGGGGAAGAATAGGTGGCCCAGAGGCAAATGCAGGAGTTGGGTCCTGCCACCGCACACCCTACACTCCTGGAAAACTGTCCATTCAAGACCTAGCTCAAGCATCCTGTGCTGTGAGGCCTTCCCACTCAAGCCTCAGGAAAGGACACTCCCCTAGGACATTGTACAGGACCCCAACAAAGTGAGTCTCTGAGAACCTTCAGAGCAGCAATTACATTGTATTCATCCTCCCTTCCCCAGTGCCTAGCATGATATCCTGCCAAAAAAAGCTTGTGGAAGAGAAGGAAAAGAAGAGAGACGGGAGGAGCTCAGGGTCCCAGGAGGGAGAAAGGCGCCCAAGGACAGAGCATCAGGAAAGCTGTCTTTCCTGTGTACACCTGCCCCCAGTCATTGGCCAAAACTGCAGTGAACCGAATGCCCACAGAAGGATCGAGAATTCAGCAAGTAGGAAAGGCAGTGGTAAGGCAGAGCAGAAAGGCACCATGTTTATATTGGCATGTATATAGATCACGCAAAAGCTGCATATTTACACGTAAGAAATGGTACAGGCAGTTTGGAGATCCTGGAACAAGGGCCTTGCTGAACACTGAAGTGGCAGACACTCAGCTGAGGCCTACGAGGGAGAATGGTGGCAGGGAGGAGTTGAGAAACAGTCTTCTGGGCAGGGAGGTGGGCAGCTGTGTGCACAGACCTCTGGAAAGGGGTGGGCCTTCTGAGGGTGGGCCAGTGTGGCCAGGCGCTGCTGTACACACTCAGCTGTCAGCCGTGCTTCTGGGTCTGGATCCCAACAGTCCTCTAGGAGCTCTCTCAGGCCACCAGGGTCCTGGGAAGAATGACCAGGAGGCAGCTTGATCCCAGGAATCTGAATGGTCGCCTGAGAAACCCCAGGATTAAAAGGTATCCACTACTCCCCTGTTTCCAACACTCTTCTTCCAATCCTTCCTGAAGCTACTTCCTCCTCCCCCTCACTGGAACCAGCCCTCTATATCTTGTTCCCTATGAAACAGTTCTCTGGGTGCCTCCCAAGGTGTCCAGCTTTTCCTCTGAAGAGCTAATTCAGGTTAATGGCTTAACATGCTGATGTTTTAAAATTTCTCTCCTTCATCTCAGGCAACCAGGGTCTTCTACAAACAATGCCTGGGCCTCTGTTATCTAACTCAACAAATGCTTGTGCAGTGGAAATTTCAGACCAGATAGCAGGGGAAGAGGCTTCCTGTTAGGAACTATTTGTGCAGACCTCTGAAATATCACCTTTAGGCCAGTGCTTTAACCCTTTATAACTAGGACTGGGTTTTATTGGGTCATGGCAGAAACACAGGTATGCAGGACAAAATGAGGAACTATTGGGTTGAACGTTGGGCTCCAGTGTGCCAGGAGAGGAGCCATCTTGGGGGCAGAGTTCAGGGTAGAAGCAAAGACAAGGAGTACTTCCTGGAGGGGACTGAGGAACAGGGCTAACTGATGAAATGATGGTAGAAAGAAGAGAAACTGAGGTAAGTGTCTCAGGAATGCGCTGTGTGAAATGGAGGAAGAGGATGAACTGAGGTGCCGAACAAGTTTGAGCAGCTTCAGCTGAACATGATACCAGGAGCGGTGGGAGATGACAGGAGAAAGTAGATGAACTGATCCTGGCAGACGTGTCTCTGAAGCCCATGCCCAGACTCTCCAGGTCCCAAGCCCACCCCTGTGGCTTCTTACTGTGGTAAAGCAGCACCAGGTGGAAGGGATGTAGGGGCGCCTTCTCTCCTCCACTGCTAAGGTCCACAGCTCACAGCTGGTGGGAGTGCTACCCAGTTCTGCCTCATAGGCCATTTGGAAGGGTGGCGGTCTGTTGTCTGGGGAAAGGCACATGTGGCTTGGCATCAGCAAGCCCAAGAGTGCCTCCTTGTGGAAAGGCCAAGAGGCGGAAGGGCAGAGCTTCCGGGGTCAGGATGTAGGTGGGTCTAGAATGGGTGAGTGGGCATGGCTTGGGTGGGGGATGGGGGAGGAAAGGGACACTGTCATATCCACCCTCACCACCCTTACCAGGGCACAAATCCAGGCAGCGGCTCAGGATCTCCCACAGGAGCAGAGCCAGAGAGTAGACATCAGCTCGCCGGAGGGCTGTGCCCCAGTCCTGCAGGTCCAGAGTCTTGTCCAAGAGCTCTGGCGCCATGTACCTCTGGGTGCCGGCCTGGAGAGCAAGGCGTGGAGGGCCAAGAATCATCTCCCCGGCAATGCTCACCACAACACTGGTCCATGAGACATCACCCGGCTAGATGCAGGGATGTCCCAAACTGCTGTACTGTGGCTGCACCGCTGGGCACAGCTTCAGCAGCAGTGACGCCACCCTGGGCCTCTCCCTTACCCACAGCACTCACCTCCATGATGGCAGCTGGGCCTCGGGGTTGGGTAGGGGCCCAGGTGGGGGGCTGAGCGAGGCCAGGGAGCACCAAGGCAAGGCCCAGATCTCCAATGGCACATGATCCATCCTCCCGAATGAGCACATTCTGGCTACTCAGATCTCGGTGGGCGATACCTGGTTTATATTGGCCTATGGGAGAAGCCAAGGCTGAAGGGTCTTCTTCCTTTCTTTCTTGACCTAGTTCTTCCCCTCTAAGCTAAGGGAGAATCAGAAAAATAGCAGTGTGGCTCCTGACTCCCATGGCTTCCTGCTCCCAGCTCACCCACCATCTTGCCAGCGCTCTTCATGGAGAAATGCCAGACCCTGTGCCAGGGACAGTGCCATCCGCAGGGAACTTCCCCAGTCACTGGTGTGCTGGGTCAAGTAGTGGCATAGGGAGCCCTTGGGAGAAGCAGAGAGAAGAGGGAGACATAGAAAGTTGGAGGTGGCCAATTCACCCCAGGGAGCAGAGATCAGTCGACAGACTTCCCCCTGCATCTCCCAGCAGACAGACACACTAACACAGCCAGGCCAACCAACAGGCAGCGGAGGAGTGAGAATGTGCCTGTCAGACTGATGGGAAAAACAGTAACTCCAGCTCAAGTGTCTTGAGCACCTACTGCGTGCCAGCCTTCTGTAATCCTTGCAACCACCCTAGGAGTTAGGTATTCCTGTCACTCCCATTTCATAGATGAAGAGTTTTAAAGAGAGCTTGCTGGAAGTCACTTGGCAAGAGAGAAGTAGAGCTTGAAGCCAAGCAGCCTGACTCCAACATCACTCAGTATTAACCACCCTACACTGTCTCAGAAGTCTTGGGACAGAGACAGAGACAAAAGAGGCAGGGCGAGCTGGCAGGGGCACCACTCAGGAACACCCTGCTTGGGGACAGGGAGGGCTGTTGAGTGGGGAGCAGCAGGTGGGGAGCAATCGGGAATTGGAGGGAAAGAAGCAAGAGTCCCTCATCTGACAAACATTATCGAGCACCTCCAGCGTGCTGGGGAAGTTACACACACACACACAAAAGTAGTATTTTTTTAGCTGAGCAGTGAGGCACATGGTCAAAGAAGGGACTTTCCAGAATTCAAAATTTTCAAGGTGGACGACCCATAGGTGCTGATAAAATCCCACAAGGCCAGTGTGGTCTGGCCCCTGCATACCTCTCCCGCTTCACCCTTTGGGCTCATGATCCTCCACTCCCTCATGTCTCTTTCTTCTCTTACAGTGCCCTCGCTTTCAGCACTTACCATGCTTGACATTTTACACTTAGTTTTGTGGTGACTTGATCCACTTCTGTCTCCCCCACTACACTGTAAAATCTATAAGGCAGGGACGGGGTGTGTTTTTCCTAGCATAAGAAATATGATATATAGTCCATAAATATTTGTTGAATGAATAAGTGAATGACTTTGGAGGGCCATGCTTGCAGGTATTTCTTTAACAACGGTTGTCTTTAAGGTTGGGTGGGAATAGGAATTGTTTTTTCCTTTTTTAAAAATTGTATTATTAAGGGAGGGAGAAGGGGGGGGGAAAGAAAGGGGGAGTCTTAGGATTAGCATGTATAATGTGGTGGGGCTTGGGGAGGGCTGTGCAACACAGAGAAGACAAGTGATTTTCCAGCATCTTACTACGCTGATGGACAGTGACTAATGGGGTATGTGGGGGGAACTTGGTGAAGGGGGAGGTCTAGTAAACATAATGTTCCTCATGTAATTGTAGATTAATGATACCAAAAGAAGAAAAAAATTGTATTTTTTTTATTATCAAATGTACTTTGCAGTGGTTCAATAGTCCCCTTCCCCTTCCCCCTCCCCTTCCCCCTCCCCTGGGACTAGAAATTGTTTTGACTTCTCTCCTTCCTTATCTTTATTTTATGAGTCAAAAATACGAGCAAGTATTGCTCGTGTAACAAAAAAGAGAAAACAATAAAAATCATGTTTAATGTTTTAAAGCAGAGGAAATCTAAAGCAGAAAAATAAGCATGGACAGCACCCAGCTGCCATCCAGCCCTCCATCCACACCCAGGCAAACACACACACATTCATTCCTCCCACCTCACCTTGGGGTGCAGTTCCAGTACCAACAGAGGCCCACAGGGCAAGATGCCAGGGCACCCCCTGCTGGCAGTAATAAAGCGGACAATGTGGTCGTGCTGCAGGCCTGGCAGCTCATACAAGGCTCTCTCAGCTTGGAACTGGGCCATAGCCCTCAGGGGGAAGGCCTTGATGGCTACCAGCTCGCCTTGCAGCCGCCCAGTCCACACCACAGCGTGACCGCCTTCCCGGATTACCTGGTGGGGACAGAGCGCTGGCTGTGGGCCTCAGCTAGTAGCAGGGTGAGGCTGCCTCCCCAGTGCACCCTCTGGGAGTGCCTGGGGGCCTCCCTTCCTCCCTCCCTTCCTCCCTCCCTGGGCACCTGGGAGAAGCACAGCTCCGGCAGCTCTGGCAGCTCTGCACTCCAGTCGCTGCCTAAGTCTGGCTCTGGCTCTGGCTCTAGCTCTGGCTCTGGCCCACCTCGTACTCTGTGGGCCTTTCGTGGTAGCAGGGCTGGGACGGAGAGGAGCCTTAGAGTCAGGTGCACAGGCATGGAGACTGGGACCGGGGCTTTGTGGGAGGCAATTGGGTCAGGATGCGGAGTTCTCAGCACCATGGGCCAGGGATCCCGGAGAGGAGTCAGAGCTTTGGGGCAGTGTCCGGGCATCACAGGGGAGGGATGGTTAGATTAGTACCCAAGATGATGCTGCCCAGCAGCAGAAGCAGGAGAAGGAACAGCCCCAGCAACGCCAGCACCATCCACATGGATTCGCCTGGACATTAAAGCAAGAATGCAGGCTGGATGAGTCCTGCCCCATATCCGTTCTTCTCCCTGTCCTCAAAGAACCTGCTTCTCCACCTACCCCCATCCTGGTCACAAGCCCCCTTATCTCTCAGTCACCAAGGCAACCAACTTCTCAAGGCCAGGAGGAGGGAAGCTTGGGATGGGGGTAGGGTGAGAACTAGCTCTGTTCTGCCTCTCATCCTATTCTTGGCCCCAGCCCCCTCCCAGCTCCAGCACCCTGGGGGGCTACCTGGGACAGCCTGGGGACCCTGGGAGCCAGGAGTCCCAGGGCTCCCCGGAGGAGGCAGCTGGCTGTAATTGGCATTGCAGAAGTCAGTGCCACAGGAGCAGGTGAAGAGAGTGGAGACGGGGCTGGGGTGGGCTCGGGGGCTTGGGTCACAGTAGGGGGACTCACAGCCTGGCTCATCACTGTCTCGGCATCCTGATGTGGGGGGATTAAGAGAAGAGAAGAGAAAGGAAGAGAGTGCAAGCAAGCATAATGGAGTCTGGGAACAGAGAAGATAAACCCTTTCTCTATCAGAGGCATCCCTTCCATCTCATGTGGGCTTTTCTTCCCCTCTGCACATTCCATTTCTCCTCCTCTCCCTCAGCTACCACCCCCACCCTAGGATGTACCTATCTCCCACCCTAGCTGTCACCTGCCATATACTTTGCCATTCACCTTGCATCTCCACCTGTGCCCGGTCTTGGGTTAGGTTCCAGATCCCAAAGCAGCAACGGCTGTAGAGGCAGCGGATAACCCTGGGGGGCCCTGGTCCTGCATCTAGCAGCTTCCCCAGTGTCTTTGTGCTTCCCCGAACTCCAGGGGCCTCAAAGAACACACAGGTCCGCCTGCTTGGGAGTGCTGTGGCCCAAGATGGGGAAAGGGGAAAGTTCAAGATGGGGCAAAAACAACAGCCAAAAGGAGAGACAAAACATTTTTCATATCCCAGAGCTGGTATGGTAAAGCCACAGAAGGAAATTGGGTCAGTAGAGGCCTGGAACCTGACCCCACCAGGGGGACACATGGCTCTGCCTTTGGCCCTCACTCACCCACCCACTCACCACTCTTCTAAAGAGGTGGCTGTTGCTTCAATGCCCCTTTCCAGTGGGTAGGTGGAAGGACCCTGCCCCTCTCTGCAGAAACCTACCTTGCACAGCTCCAGGAAGCAGTGCCCAAAAGCCCAGAGTCCCCAGCATCGTGCTGGAGGAGCAGCAGAAGGGGAACATGAGCCGCACAGCTGCCCCAGGCCAGAGCTACCTTCAGATACAGAGTACTGTGGGGCTTCTGGTCCTTCAGTCCCCAACTCCGCCCCCCTCCCTCTCCCCAGTCTCAGTGGGGGAGACAGCTGCTGTGGGGGAGAGGATGGGTGTGGGGAAAAGCAGGGAGAGAGAGGGAGGAGCAGAAAGCCAATCTCATATCCTCCTCTGTTCAACCACCTCCTCTCTTCTCTGCAAAGTGGGAGGAGGGTGCCTTGGAGGCCAGCTGAGAACCCAGGGATGCCTAACTTCAAATTTCTGCCCTTTGCTCATCCTATAAGAAAGTGCTGGATCCTATCAGCTCTTCCCAGGCTGGAAACCAAAGTGAGGTCAAATGCTCAGAGCCATTCAGCTGTGCCCAAGATCCCTTCTAACCCTTATTTTCAGGGCTCAGATCTGCAGCACCCTGGGCAAGAGGCTTCACAATCCACACTAGAGTTGACCTCATTTTCCAAACTCAAGAATCAGAAAGCATTTATATAAAATTTCTCAGAGTTTAAAAAGATTACATTGGAAATGGGTATAAATGGTAAGTTTTACATTCCCAAAATTAAAAAATCACATTGCGTCATTCACTGAATAACTCACCATTGTTGGAAGGTAACAAACTTTCGTTGAGCACCACTGTGCTAGGGCACAGCTAGGGCTGTGCACTTTACAATTATTCCATCTAATGCTCCCACTACTTTTTATTATCTTCACTTCATAGTTTACAGAGCTCAGGAAACTTGCCCAGGGTTATTCTGCTAGGCAATAGCAGAGCTAGGATTTGAACCTGTTCTTTGTATTATGCCAGGATGCCTGAAAACAAATACAAAAGTCAGCAATTAAAATATTTCCTAATATGCCAGGCAAAGAAAGACAAGTATCAAATGATTTCACTTATCTGTGGAGTATAAGAACAAAGAAAAAACTGAAGGAACAAAACAGCAGCAGACTCACAGAACCCAAGAATGGACTAACAGTTACCAAAGGGAAAGGGACTGGGGAGATTGGGTGGGAAGGGAGGGATAAGGGGGAAAATGGGGCATTACGATTAGCACACACAATGTAGGTGGGGGGACACGGGAAAGGCAGTATATAGAGAGAAGACAAGTAATGATTCTATAGCATCCTACTACACTCATGGACAGTGACTGAAATGGGGTATGTCAGGGGGACTTGATAATGGGGGGAGTCTAGTAACCATAATGTTGTTCAAGTAATTGTACCTTAATGATATCAAAAATATATATATTTCCAAATACAATATTTGAATATTTGAATTTGGATTGTTGAGAAAATATTGCACCATTACCTGCCATTAAGCCACTAACTGGAAAGCGAGGGTACAGTTCAAACTATCAACACTAGAGGTCAGTAGACATAGGAGAAACTCAGTGCAGGGAGGGGGCAGAAGGGGCCTCCTCTGATGACTAGTGTCTGTATCGTACACCTGCATCTGTTAACCTGCTGGGATTGTAAACTGTGAAGGGAGAGTATAGGGTGTGTAGAGGGAGTGCCAGCATGGAGATGGAAAAAGTTTATGGCTTGTGTGGCAATAGAGAGACAGGAGTCCAACTCCACCAGTCTCTTCCCCAGAGTAAGGAACTACAGTAATAGGTAATTTGTTTCCACCCCTATGAGTAGGTGGCTCCCACGAGAATTAAGAGTTAGAGACGACCGGTTCCCTGTTTTCCCAGCCTTCCATCCCCCTGATGGCTGCCTGGAAACCCTTTCTGGGAATGGTATGGCTTAGACCAGGGATAATGGTTCTGAGTACTACTGATTCTGTAGTCTTCCTTCTGGTGAGCCTGCGTGAAAGGAGAGAGAGAGTAAAAGCACCACCATTTGTGAATCAGCGGCTGGAGGAATGACCAAGGCTAGAGGCACATGGACAGCTGCCCATCCCTACCTTGGGCCCTTCTGGGAGCCTATAGGGCCCTGCCAGTAAGATGGACTGTTGTACTGAGTTGCTACTTCCTTCACCACCTCCCAGATCAGATAGTTGGGGGCAGGGGTGGGGCAGGGAAGGGTGAGAAAAGGGTGGAGTTGAAGGTCAAATAGCTTCTGTGCCTGGAGTGTCTTAGATTATCTCCTCCAGAGCAGAGCAAGATTAGGACCAGGCAGTAAGGTAGAATCTCCTCACCCAAAGCTGGGTAACTATTCCTCTCAAATATAGAAGCATTCCCGCCAGGTTTATGGGAACAGTATCTGCTCTGAGCAGTCAAGAGTTTTAGAGCTAAGATGGTGATAGAAGGGGTAAGAATCTGAGAGCTGAGGGATGAGAAAGGTCCTGAGAAGAGGCCTTAGCATAGGAATGGAGGCTTCCTGGATTCTACACACACAAAGGTCTTCATTAGGATCCCCTGATTAAAGTCTTCAGTGGCCTAATAATACCTTTGACATCATTGACTACAAGGCTAAAGTGAGTTGTTTATTCCTTCAATTCAGCAAATATCTATTAGGTCCTGATCTTAAAAATGTATTGCATCAGGTGCTGGGCCTACAAAGATATGTGTGATTTCTGCCCTCCAGGAATCCATTCTCTAGAAAGGTATAGACATATGAACAAGCAACCAGAAAATTATGTGTCAGTCTAGGGGTTTGAGCAAGGAGCTATACCAGCAGAAAGATCAAATAAGCTAATTCTGTCCAGGGCATAGAAGACAAGAGAAAAAAGGTGCCCAGAGGGTTTCACATAGAAAGGGATATTTAAATTGTGTCAAAGGTAAACACTGAAAATGAGTAAAACGAGGGTGATTATTATAGGCTAAGGGAACAGCAAGAATAAAGACACAAAGGTATGAACTTTACCTGTGTGTTGAGGGCAGAGGGATTGAGCAGGAGAAAGGAGTAGGAGATATAAAGCAGAAAATGACCCTAGAGATAGACTGGGACCAAATCGGAAAAGTTTCAATTGTCTATCAAGGAACTAAGACTTCTAAGAGCTAAGGATTTTAGGTAGAGGGGTGGTAGTTATGTGGTAGGTAAGATGATCGAGGCTGAAGGACTACAAGTAGGGAGATCAGTTGTAAGACTCAAGTAGTAGCCAATGTTAGTACTAGTGCAGTAAAAATAAAAATAAAAAAGGCAAAAGTTGAGATATATTATGGTAATATTGATAGGATTGGTAATCAAATGAATTTTGGTAGATCAAAGAGAATTTAAAGATGATTCTGAAGTCAAATGGAAATGTTAAATGAGATGGGAGACACAAAGGATCATTTCCCCTTCTTACATGTTGAGTTTGAGTTTTCTGTGGGACATCCAGATGAAAATGTCCAGTAAGCAGGCTGCCAGGTTGAGGGAAAAGTTAGGGCTTAAGGTTTGGGACGTATGTAATAGCTATCGTGGATGCAACTTGTTCAAGGAGACGAAGGGTAGAGTAAGGAAAGGGCAGACAGGAAACACCAGTATTTAAGGAACGGAGGAAGAAGTGGTTAGGAAGGAGACTTAAGAAGACTACTCAGGAGGTGGAGGAAAACCATGGGGGTATCAGTTACACACTGCACGGGAAAAAAGCTCTAAAATGCAGGTTGTTGCTGAGGTCTAAGAGGCCAACATCTAAAAGACCACTGGAGCGGGCAACTAGGTCACCGATGGTTATGAGAAACAATTTGGTAAATGGTGGTTGATGAACAAAGTGGCCTGAGGAGTGAAGAAAAGAAAATGACTTTCACTAACTTAGGAAATGGAAAGAACTGTATCAGCAGCTTGAAGAGGTAACAGAGGTTTTTCAAAATGCAGGAGAGACTTTAACATGCTTATTGGCTGACAAAAGGGAATCCAGGAGAGACTAACAATGAAAGAAAATACCAAAACCAAGAACAAAAAGAAGTCAAAGATTAAGTAAGGTGCAGAGGACAAGTAGCAGGGTTGGCCTTGCAAAGGAAAAGTATTTCTCCTACTAGAGAAGAGGGTAAAACTGGTATTGGTGAATACACAGGTTTTTGTAGGGAGAAGAGAAATGGAAATTTGTTTCCATTTCTCCATGAAATAGGAAGCAAATCATCTGTTGAAAAATGGGGTCAGGATTTGGCAATTTACAATTAATGGTATTTGTCTCACTTACCAGACTAATGCAGAACTTGGTGGCAAGGCTTATCTTTTTTTTTCATCTTCAACCTACCTTAGGACCCAGGACATAAGAGCTCAACTGATGTTTATCGAAAGAACAGATGACACAACTATAAAGACTGTTTAAGGCTGCAAAACAACCCTGGCCCCCCCAAAATAAAAATAAACAAAAACTCCTCAGTAAAACGTTAAAATGTTCAATTGCTAATGGCTACATAAGGAAATCAATGGCTGAGTTTACCCATGACGGAGTGATTGACAAAGCAGATACAGGGAGTCAATAGAAAATGCTGGTAGCCTTAGTATAAACAGTTGACCAAGGATTCTTTGATAGGAAGGGGAGTAAAGCCATAGGCTGACGAGAAATTCTAAAGCCTATCAGAATAATTTCAATTTCAATTTGAGAGGGGGCCGCAATCCAGATTCAATCATGTTACACACAGGATGTTATTAAATGAATGTAAAATATGTTGGAACTAGATCTTGGTTTCTAAATACCGTTTCCCAATAAAGAGAACCAAGGCTCCTTGGGGAAATGGCTGACCCTAGAGCTGGGGCAGGCAAACCCGAAACTGAGCCTGAGGCACCTTGTGTATCAGAAACTACTGAAAAAAAGATGTAGACATACCAAAGGGACACGTAAGACATTCTGAAAGAGCACCAATGGCCTAAGCTGGGATAAAAAGCTTGAGCAGAAGAAAAAACCTTAGTGATACAAAAACCCAAGAATAAAGCAGATACACAGGACATATTAATATAAATTGATGGAGAAGAGACAGTCTCATTACAGAATTCCAAATATGTATTATAGATACTGTTCTCACCCAGAGGGGAAGCTGAACTCCCACGAATCCCATTAAGAATGGGCTAGACTTAACAGCTTGCTTCCAAAGAATAGGGAAAGAGAAACTTGGCAAATAGTACCTTAACCTAGTGAAGATGATTATCATCAGTAATGTCACGTAACCATTTATCCCTTGAAAGGATGTGATAAGTTTTGGAAGAATACACAGGTAAGTGTGTATTTTTCCCCAAACCCCCGAAAGCTCAGTCTAATAATGAGAAAAAGATCACATACTCAGATAGGGCGTATTCTACAGAACACCTATAGTATTTGGCCAATACTCCCAAAGACTATCAAGGTTGTGAAAAACAAAAGACGAATTGTTACAGACCAGAGGAGACTGGGGAGACCTATCAACTAAATGCAACATGGTATCCTGGAATGGATCCTGGAACAAAAGAATTTCAATGGAAAAACTGGTGAAAACCATAAAACCTGGGGCTTGGCTAATGTACCAGTGTCAGTTTCTTAGTTTGACAATGCACCATGATAGTAAGTTAACAATGTGGAAAACTGTGTAAGGGGTATAAGGAAACTCTATGTACTATCTTTGCAACTTCCCTTCAACAGTATTCCAAAATAAAAAGCTCATTAAAAAAAAAGAGCTCCGCGCTGCCCCTGTTCCTCTTGCTCCTTCACATTTCTGTGTAGTTGTAGCAAACTGATAGGGTCATGAAGCTCTTTACCTGGGAGTGAAGTGCAGGGCGACTGTGCTGATTAACATGTATGGGAGCACAACAGTGTAGCTGGAAGCCTTTGTTGGATTCATATGTGAAGTTTAACCATTATTCTCCCCATTCCCAACCCTCTCAACACACCAGAGACATGACTTTTTATTAAAAAAAGTTTTTTTTAATTGGTTTACAAAGGAGCTACAGACTACATTGAAACTAATCTTTGTACAAAAGGCAAAAAAAAAAAAAAAAAAAAGCCCCCCAAATACCCAGAGATAAAAGGTAGGGGGAGATATAAGAAACGAAGATATACAAAAGAGCAGGAAGAAACTAAAAGATAAGAGATT